ACGCTGCCCGAGGAGGGGAAGCTGCCTGCTGGCCGAGGATCCCGCCGATGATATCGGGCTCTTTACCCGTGGCTTTCCTCGGGGCCGCATCCGGCACGGCGAGCCGATAATTGTTGGTTTCTTCCGTGTCCTCGGACGTCCTTTGCGGCGAACGGAGCCGCCGGACCCGGGTCTCCACTTCAAAAAGACCACCGACGGCCGCCCGGCCGAACCGGCCGATCGTTTTTCACGCGGAAATCTCGCCATCCGTTGCCTGCCTGCCGCCGCCGCCGCCGCCGCCGCCCCCGCGGCTTTTATTCGCCCGCGTTCCTCTCTTTTTCCGGCGTCCGCTGAATAGCTTCATTCCGACCGGACAACTATCACCGGACCGCCTTCCCGGGGAAGCCCGTTAGAAGGGACCGCAGGAGGAAACGAGGGGAACGGTAATCGGGGATACCTTCGTTGCGGTTTTCGGCGCCGGTGATGTTTGCGGGATCGTGTCCTCCGGGCTCCGGCTGGAATCAGGTTGCGAAACCTTCGGGAGCCTCGGCTTTGTTCTCTTTCGTTTCCTTCGGGCCTGCCGGCGAGCGCGATTTAATTGCGGCACGCGGCGGTTTTGAGTGATCGATAGGCGAGCTACGGGTTTACGTGGGTTCGCTTTTCGAATAGTGGACGAAGTTAACTTGCGCTGACGTGCAACGCGCAAAGAGACGTTTCTGTTGCAATTCTCAGTTGTGTGTTTCATACGTTGACCATCTTGCTGCGTTACGCCCATTAGATTACTTCGAAATGTATCACTCTATACAGAATGATTAAACAAAATAAGTGTATCAGCGTAAAATAGGTAGAAACGAAATTCATCGCAGGACTTGCCGTATCTCTCAATTCATTTCCAGCGGAAGTAGGGAACCGTGCTCGAGCGTGAACGTTGTCTTAGAAAGTGATATGTTTTTTGGGAAACTTTGAATAAACATGTCATTCTTTATTTTGCTTTCGTTTTTTGATCGATTTCGTACGCCTCGTGAGAGAGTTTTGAATTCGAGTTAATTGGTGAATTCTGATCCTACAGTGTATTGTTCGCTTTTTCCCCAGGATATATAGGTGACTAGGGTGAATGTCAGTCTCGTTAATTACAGTTCCGTTAACTGTAGATCGCGGATTATGGTGTAATAAACTCGTCGCTAATTCGTCACAGAGGGAAGTCGCAAGTTCTGAAACGAGGACGAGGGATACGTTTCGAGTAGAGCGAAGGAGCACTCCAGTGTTTCGCCGTTACCCGGAGAAAGTATAATTTTTACTGGCTTTTCGAGTACTGTTTAAAACTTCATTCCGGGGAACTGGAAGTTGGGCTCTCGGGCTTAATGAAAAAAATCATCTGGCTGCTACGTACAGGCACGTAATATATGTAATATAACATAACTTCTTATAATGTAACGTGTAAACGTCGAATTTCCAAGTTAGCACGCCTACGTTTACCAGAAAGATGCTAATTTCTCTTCGAGATCCTTGTCGCGACTCCGACATTGTAACGCAACGAGTTAAACCGTTACAGCCGACGTTTCGGTCTAATCGGGCAGGCTCGTTAACACATTGAACGCCGGCTAAATTTCAGCTACTAAAAACGTCGATGATTATATTGATACATTTTTAAACATCTAAAACATTTCAACCCTTCGCACTCGACAGTATTTTTCACTACAAGAATTCATTATTTTCTGGCGAAATATTAACAATACTATTTGCAACTTACATAAGAAACATCTTGCATAAATTATGGGATAGAGTTTTACATTGAACTTTTTATTTTATCATTCTGTCGCGTTCAATCAAATGGAGACTGAGAGGCGTCTCTCGAGCGCAAAGGGTTAACGAACAACTTTACAAAAAGTTCCGGCGACAGAGAAGAAAATTGTGAACCGTGCGGACGCGAAAGTGTTGAAATGAAATAATAAACCCTTTCCCCCGCCATCTTGCGCGATATGTAAATGTTCTACTCGCGCGCTCAATTTTCTGATAGATTACCGGGTGGCCCGGAATGTTCAAACGCGGAACCGTCCCTTTGAGGCTTACGTAGTATTCCGAAATGAAAACAAAATCGAGCGGGCCGCGCGCGCGCCCAAAGGATTCAATTCGTCTGAGTGCTTTTAATAAATACACACCGCGCGACTCGATTCTACGGGCGCGGCGCGATGCGGCGCGTTTCTCGCCGGTTTCCACGGCGGGCCGCGCGACTCCGCTCTCGAATTCGAGCCGGATAACGCGGCCGGAGTTTACGTCACCGCTTTCCGAAACACCGGTTCAATTTAATATCGAGCCGGAGCCGCCGAGCCGCGGCTCAGACGCTCCGCGCGAAATCATCGCCGTCAAAGCTGCCGTATAATGCGAGCAATTCCGCGAAATTATATTACGCACCGTTTAAACGCGCGCATGCTCCGTCTCTAGGAGTTCGTCTGAATTCACTCGTCAACTCTGACGGAAACTGTGCCAGCTGCCGATCGAAATTCCGAATTTCCACGGATACATCTCGTTTTGTGTTATATTGCTTATGGAACGAATGACTTCCTTCGGATCGTTTCGGATGGCGAAGTATGAATTTCCGTGGTGCACTATGGCGTGTAAGTTTAATGGTGAATCTAGCGATTTGAATCCGAATTTGTAGTAGTTTCCGAGTTTTCCGAAGTGTTCCTGTCGTTTGAGGATAGTCGATTTGTTTGTGAAAGGTGAAAGGTGAGTGTCATTGAAAATAATGGCAAAGGTTTCGAGAAGTGAAAGATGCTTTATTTGAGTCGCTCAGATCGGTTAAGTCGATTTTTTGATATACTCTTGTTAATCCTTAACATTCCAGATGGTTTTGTAATCTATCAGCAACTGCAACTAATTTTTATGTATCTCTATTGAAAATGAAAAATGCTATAACATACCTTCGATCTTTTAATAGAAATCTAATAGTTAATAATAGAAAATCTAATAATTTTAGGGTAGCTCCTTTGATTCATTAAAATATTTAATATTATAACTGGTGCAACATTGGAGCCTACAGAGTTCAAAGGGTTATCAGAAGCCCTTATTTTTATAGCTCCGAATATGTCCAATAATTTCAGAAGAATGTTTTCAATTTTTCTCAACTACGATACATTGGCTTGAGCGACTCATGTCTAAACAGATATATTTGCTTCAAAGAAATCGACGACAGACAGAATTTAACAGCTTTCATTAAAAAAATTCATCCAGTTAATTACTGCGTTTCGTTAGATCTTTTCAAAGGTTGCTCGAAGAGTTTGTCGCAGGTTCTACAAGGTACCCGAGAAAGGACGGACGCGGAGTAACAATCGGTTTCATCGAATTCGTTGATCAATCGGACCCGTGTCCGCGGTTTCGATGCGGTCTGCGGAACGGCGGACGGGAAAGGGCAGCCCTCAAACTGTTCGATCCTCGTTACTTTTCATTGTTCCCGGTTCTCGCGGGTTTACATCGAAACATGATTCGATTTAACGCGGACACGGCGTAGCCCGCGAGTTTTCGGTGCAAATGCCCGTCAAAATGAAAACAATTCCGGCCGAATGCAATCGACGGGACGTATCTTTGGCAGCTCGGCGGAAGCAGTCGAGTCGATCACGCGAAGTATTTTTAAAAATCAAATCGCTGCGCGGTCACCGTTCTACGCGTATGCGCGAGCGCGAGCGTGCTCCGATTACGCTCTGCGCCTAACCGTTTCCGCACGAAGAACGGTCACTTGCGAATACAGGGCGAGCAAATGAAAATACCGAAACCTCTATGTTATTCATGGTCGCATAGAAAAATGTACAAAGTTACTTTGTTTCATGGGACGTGGCTTTGAGCGAAACAGTTCTTCTCGAAGTTACTGTTTCACTGGATTTCACTTACGACTGTTTCCAATAGAACGGCTTACAGTTTCACACGTAAAAGAATAAACGAAACGATTCTTACTACTATAGTGTTTACTATATTATAGATAATGAAAGAGTGGATCTTGAGTAATGATGGTTTACCTCGGAATAATTGAGTCGTGAGTCAATGTGGTTGAGTTCGAAAACGAAATCTAGAAATCGAAACACGTAGACTATTGGTCGTTGTCTTGCCGGGATAATGATTTTTTCCGTAAAAGTGTTTTGAGACGTGTAATCAGAACATTCGCAATGAAATTCTGGTCTCGTCCGATTGGCAACAGGAAGCGCGTCTTCGAAAATAGGGAAATTATTCGCGACCGAGATTCAATCGGAACTTCGCGTCGCGCGTCGGCTTCGGAATAGAAGTTGAACGAAGTCCGAATGGGGCAAAACGTGATGGCGGTTTCGGGAACCCTTTGCGACCTTCGTTAGGGTGCGAAGGGGACGGTTCGTTGTGTCTGTTAACCTTCTGCCCGTTCCACTCGTCCGACGTGCAGGGCGATTTATGAATGAATAGTCCCCTGGGAAACACTTTTGTCTAATTAATGACGTTAAAACGATGATAACACTTTATGTTACCTTCAGGTCTATTTGTTAATCTTCAAGAAGAACACAGAAATTACGTTGAAATACGCTGCTGGACGCAACGGTCCAAAAAGAGTGGAACACGCTATAGGACCATCGGTCATTTCCCTCCTATGAATTCATACACCCTAAATGTAAACCAGCAACATGGCCGTAGCCGCATTCTACCGGTCGCGCTTTGCAATTCGAATGAAATTGTAGCGAAAACAAGGTGGTTTTTGAATTAAAAATATGTCACGGAGTTCAACTGATCATTTCGCGTGATACGATGGGCCGGCACAAATAGCACTGTCACGTTGCCGTAACGGCCACGGAACGGTCCAATTTTTGCGGCCCGGGGAATCGACAATTTTGATGTACGAGACGAACGGGAATTGAGGTTTCTGTTTAGACTTACGCGGTTATTATAGTATTTATCTTATATTACTACGTTTCAACGTAGTCATTGAACGTTAACTTCTAAGTGAACGATACAAAGCAAAGGAGTATTAGAGGTTATGTAAGAAAGGGAATAGTAAGGAATCAAATTTAGACATTCTACGTTCTCATTTCGCCAATAATAAGAAAGACCCTTTCGTAAGAAATTACAAAATAAATTCCTACTTTTGACTAGTGCAATAGGAAGCTCTTCGAATTTCAAGAAATCTGATTTACCAATGCTCCTAACTGTTGAATATTTATTTGTAGAAATAAACGACACAGTTTGAAAAGCTAAATGTATATTTATTGAAGTATGTAGTACGGTGCTTTACAAAAGCTGAAACACGGAGCGGAGAAAAAAAGAAAAACGCTCATCAATGGATACCTTGCAGTCATTAAAAATATACTTCATGCTCATTCTCGACACTAACAAATTCTAAACAGCTCTGCCTTATTGCTCGATAGTTCCGTTAAATAACAGTTCCAATCTGTTACACGAGGCGTGTCAGCGAATCGTTAATCTCGAGGTCGTCGATCCAAGGACATCGATAAGGGGGACGCGATAGGTTCGACACGAATTTACCTTTTTCCCCTGCCTCGCCCTCCGTTTAATTTTCCACCGCAGAAACCGTTAGCCCCCGTCAATCCCTTATCGGATGTGCGTCTAATGGCGAACGTCGGCGCCCTCCGCCGGAAATCGAGCATCCCCCTGTCCGGGGCAACGACTAACGAATGCACGGACGAAAATCACTTCTAATCGCGACGTCACCCCTGACCCTTTCGACGATTCATTCCACCGCGAGATGAGCGCGAGAGTTTCGTGTCGAAAGTCTCGCGTGCGTCCTTTGCCGAGCTCTCCCTCGAACAAATATTTTTCAAGCCTGTCGTGTTAGGGTTATAGATCCTTGCGATTCGAACGAATGTACGGGGTGGCTCGTGTAGGGTTAACTTCCGTGATTAGCGCCGAATACGACGAAGAAAGTAATGAAGAATATTTGCAAACAAGGTCAACAAGGAAACTCTTAAAACGGAAGTGGTTTGTTATTAACTTTTTACTCGGTACTCAAATATTTACAAATATTTACTACAATTTCTTTGGTGAAACATTCCGATAGTTCATTGACACTTTGACTGCGGAGTAAACTCATTAAAACTCATGCAGTCGGAACAGTTCTCTGAACAAAGCAGAAACTAACAAGTTCCAAGATTCTTTAATGATTACTTTACTATCTTTCTTATTCACGGATCTGCTTCGTTGCCGAGATATTTTTAACATAGATTATATTATTACGTTATTTCCAATATTAGTAGTAAGAAGAATTTACACTGCTCTCTACAAAGTATCTGTCTTTCCAAATAAAATATTATAATAAAAGAAATTCAGTGCGTGAAGTGTTAACCCTTTGCACTCGAAATTTGTTCACTAGAAATATTCAATATTCTTCGATGAGATACAGACGATGTTCTTTGAAACTAATTAACGAGGAAACTTAATAAAATTAATACTATATATAAGACTTTATAATCTTGCAAATCAAATCAAGTGACTGAGAGTCACCTCTCGAGTGCAAAGGGTTGAAGTGCAAGTTTCTCGAAATATCCGCAGCTTCCCAATCCCTCCGCGAAACCAAACGAATTTCGACGCGGTCGATGGTACGAACATTGGTGCGCTTGTTTCGAAAATCTCGTGGGAGTAGGATCAATCAGCGAGGAGTATCGGGAGTTCGAAGAACGACCACCGATAATTCCTCGCCGATTGGTCGGATGCGGGAAGAATACTGACCTGCGCTCTCCGAGGCGGGAATGTCGGGGCACGCCTGGTATCTGAAGAGCAATCTGCTGTCGTCGGTGCAGGTGTCGACGTTGCTGACGGGCACCGAGCAGGTCCCGTGGCCTCGATTGTAGGAGAAGGTCATGGGACCCCGGAAAGGGCACGGCACGGGTGTCGCCTCCTCGCGGAACATCGAATAGAGAAGCGCATCCCCCGTGATGGACGAGCACAGGGATGCCAGGGAGCTTCTACTGTTACAGTAAGCTGAAACGGTGAACAATAAACACGCGTTAAAACACGCTGCGATAGTTCACAAGTCGACTCGTTCGCAGACAACATCGATAGACTTCGGTTTCTCGAATGTTTTCAAATTTTCAGGTAAACGCTTAATTAAAACTCTTTCCATTTCATTTGAACGGCTCGATTACCTGTTAATTAAAAGTCTGCGTACGATTGACACAGGTAATAACTGATTGCGGTTAAATAAATTGTACAACATATACGAGCTTCGTAGGTGACGGGCGAGATAATTAATTCGACCGTAAACGAATGATGCATGGTAAAGAATGACTGTTTAACGAGCGATTATTTGGGGAATCACTTTTTCATATTTACGTTCGCGTCTGCGTACACGTGTGTATAAATATTGACCGGAAATTGTTATGAATTGCGAGGCAATGGTTTCTTATTGAATATTATTTTCAAATGTGATTTCTCTCGGAAAGAGTGCAGAAGGAATCAACTTTTATCGTGGCATATTTCCTATGAACATCTGTCAACGCTCAGTCAAGTCCATTCTTTGATATTTTCCAAAATTTTAATGGAACAAACATTCTTTGCAGCTATTAAAGGATTCGTCTTCGTTTGATCTAGATCAGAAAACCAGAGAGTATGTTGTATATTCATTTCAGAAGCCGAAACATTAATCTTCCAATTTTTCTTTTCTAAACCTAACCGCATTGTCTTAACCCTTTGCACTCGAGAATATGTTTCTCAACAGATATTCATTATTTTCTGCTTAAATATCAATGCTATATATTACAACTAACATAAAGAAACACCCTGTGTAAATTAAGTGACTAGATTATTTCGATGTTCCTTGCGTCGATGCATTATATAAAATTTGCTATTGAATTCTAAATTTGATTATTTTGTTCGAATCAAATGGCGATTGAAAAGCGCCGCTCGAGTACAAAGGGTTAATCCGATGATCCAGCACCGTCTCCACAGCGCACATCAGAATATAAACGCCACAGAAGCTAGAAATAGTAATTCCGAACGACAACTGTACGAAACAACTGTCGACGGCAGCGCCCGAGCCCCGGAAGCATTAACTTCCGAAGAGCCATAAGTTCTTCCCCGTCGAGGTCGACGGGAAATCGGCCCTCGAAGGCTGGCGCGGGGGGCGCGCGAGCGAAAGCGGACGATGACGAATCTTCGCCGAGTAGGAAGTTCATAGCCGAAGTAACTTTAACCGGGGATGCTCCCGCGATTTCTTTCTTTCCGGCTGGAAAAGTGGCGGGACTCGGCTGGAAGTTTCCCGGT